GTGGAGCACCCCGTGTCAGAGGCCATCACGGGCCAGGACCTGGTGGAGTGGCAGCTGCGGGTGGCGGCGGGGCAGGCGCTGCCCCGAAACCAGGACCAGCTGGCGGTGGGGGGACACGCGATCGAGGCACGCATATACGCGGAGAGCCCCAGGAACAATTTCCTGCCTGGTGGGGCTGGGGTCGGGGGGAATTATCGGGGGGAATCTAAGGGGGGGGGAAGGGGGGAGGATGCGTGTTTTGGGGCTTGAAAGCAACTGGCTGGGGTTTGGCTGAATGGGGGTCGGTGGGAACGGATTGTGTGTGTGTGTGTGTGTTGTGTGTACTCGTCTCATCAAAGCCAAAGTATGCGACAGGACAGATCAGGTAGGGATAGGCGCGCGTGTGTGTGCATGTGTGTGGGTGTGTTTTGGATCGGGGGGGAGGGACGGGGAAAGATGTGGCGGTTGTGGATCGTTGTGTGTGTGTGGGGGGGGGAATTACCGGGGCGGGCTTACCCCCGGCTCAACCCCCCTTCTGGTTTCCCTTTGGGCTCCCTGGAGTGGGAGCTGCGAGGCTTACCCTGACCCTACAACCCCACAACCCAATCCCCACATTCTGTGATTGGTCGTCACGATGGGCCCTATTAACTTGGGCTTGTACGTCCTTCAGGCGCCGGAACCGTACGGCGATGGCGTACACCTGCCGCTGCTGTTTCCTTCAGCAATGCACCCCTGCGGGTGGATAGCGGTGTACGGGAGGTGAGGTACAGGGGGGAAGGGGGGAGGAAAGGGGGAGGGATTGAAGGAGAGGCATGTTGTCCGTCTGTCTGTCCGTCTGTCTGCGTGTTTACCTGGCTTCGTGTTGTTAGCTGTATCCAACAGAACACTTCTTCTCCGCTTGTTCCTCAAACACCATCACTCGCTCGCCAATCTGAGTCATGGCGGAGTCATGGCTTCTTCGTGGTTTTCCATTTTCTGATCTTCCCCTCCCCTTGTTTTGCTTGTTCACTCCCTCCACATAACTCCGTTCCTCCCCAACCTCCCCAACC